ATAAATATGACCTAAAACATGATCTGTTCTCTGCACAAGTCCTAAAACTAGATAAAGAGAACCTAATTAAACAAATGAGTCAAAAACATTATTCCTGTACATTGATTTATTGAGGAAAATGATCCAAAGCTACATTTCTGTGTGGCAAAGGTATGTGAACCTTGGTGCCCCCCATGGGCAGCAATAACTGCAACTAAATGTTTCTGATAACTGTTGATCAATCCTGCACATCAGCTTGGAGGAATTTTAGTTCATTCCTCCTTACAGAACAGCTTCAACTCAGGAATGTTAGTGGGCTTCCTTGCATGAACTGCCTGCTTCAGGTCCTTCCACAACATTTCTATAGGATTAAAGTCAGGATTTTGACTTGGCCATTCCAAAACATTAACTTTCTTCTGCTGTAACCATTCTTTGGTTGTACAACTTGTATGTTTTGGGTTGTTGTCTTGCTGCATGACCCACTTTCTCCTGAGCTTCAGTTCACAGACAGATACCCTGACATTTTCCTGTAGAATTTGTTGGTACAATTCAGAATTCATAGTTCCATCAATGATGGCAAGCCATCCTGGTTCAGAAGCTGCGAACCATGACACTGCCACCACCATGTTTCATAGATGGGATAAGGTTTTTCTGCTGGAAGACAGTGTTTGTCTTTTGCCAAACATAACACTTTTCATTCAAGTCAGAAAGTTCTATTTTGGTTTCATCTGTCCACAGAACATTCTTCCAATAGTCTTCTGGCTTATCCACGTGGCTTTTTGCAAACTAGTCAGGCACCAATGTTCTTTTTGGAGAGTAGTGGCTTTCTCCTTGCAACTCTGCAATGCACACTATTGTTCAGTGTTCTTCTGATGGTGGTCTCATGAACACTGACATTTGCCAATGGAAGAGAGGCCTTTAGTTCTTTAGATATTACCCTGGGGTTCTTTGAGACCTCCTGGAGTATTACGTGTGTTACTCTTGGTGTGACCTTGGTTGGTCAACCCCTCCTGGGGAGGGTAAGAATGGTATTGAATTGCCTCCATTTGTACACAATCTGCCTGACTCTGGACTGGTGAAGTCCAAACTCTTTGGAAATAGTTTTGTAACCTTTCCAGACTGGTGAGCATCAACAACTGTTTTTTGGAGGTCCTCAGAAATCTCTTTTGTTCAAGCCATGACACACCTCTACATACCTGTGTTGTGAAGATCAGATTTATTCAGAATACCCAGAATTCTGTTCAGACCTCCCACACTCATACCTGATTATCTTTCCATTGATTGAAACACCAGGTTCTAATTTCCCTTTCAAATAAACTGATAATCTAGAGGTTTACATACTTTTGCCACACACAAATATGTAGTTTTGGATCATTTTCCTCAATAAATAAATGAACAAGTATAATGCTTTTGACTCATTTGTTTAATTGGGTTCTCTTTATCTAGTTTTAGGACTTGTGTGCAGAACAGATCATGTTTTAGGTTATATTTATGCAGAAATATTGAAAATTCAAAAGGGTTTACAAACTTTTAAGCACCATTGCAATATAGAATAAAATATAGAGAGGTCTCAGATGTAGCTATTGATGAGATGAGGTAGAATTTATTTATTTGTCACATTTATATAGCCGCCCATCTTGCACAATGTGACTTTGGGTGGGATACAACAATTAAATAAAATA